ACACATATACACACAGACACACACGCACTTCTGTGAACAATTGCTATTTTTTTAATAGGAATTGCATTTAATGTGTAGATCACTCTGGGTAGTATGGGTCTTTTAACAATATGGACTTTTTCCAATCCGTGGATATGATATGTCTTTTCTTTGTGTGTGTGTGTCTCCTTTAATTTGTTTTATCAGTGTGTTTCAGCTTTAGTTGTTGAGCTCTTTCACATACATCATGCAGGCTGGTTGATATCACAGTAGGAAACGTGAAGCTCAAGAGCCAGTCCCACCTGGGAAGGTTTCTGGTTTAACTCCGAGGCTCCCTGAGCACCCTAGGCACAGGCTTGCCCATGATCTGGAGCTGACTAAGACTAGCAGTGAATCATGGCACTAAGATTCTTTGGGGGCGAGAAGAGTGTTGTTTCTCTTTTTCCCTGTGTCTTTCGTTCATGGAAATAAATAAATTTAAAAATCAAAGGCTAGGGTCAGAAGATCTGATCTGGTGTTGGGATTGGCCTGGTGCCATGGACCATATCCTGGTCTGGCACTGTGTGGTGTGGAGTTTGAGACCGGGAGGTTGAGCTGGATTTGGGCAGGCTTGAGGGTTGGGTGGGTCTGAAGCCCATGTCTGTGGGGGCTTCCCTGGCATTGGGCCAGGCTAGACAGCTGGGTTGGTGAGAGCTGTATGGTACCTAGAGCATGTGGTTCACAGGCAGTCCAAAGGCCTGTGGCTATGGGGCAGTGTGGAGCCAGGGGCTGCTGGAGTTTACCCAGCACTGGGTAGATGTGGAACAGGGTCTGCAAGGCTGGGCTGCTGCTGGGCTGTGCTAGCGCAGGCCTAGTGCTGGAACCCAGGAAGAAGTCCAGTGCTCACATCACTGCTTCTCCACACAGAGGCTCTTTCTTTCCACGTGGTGCTGCCAAGAGTCAGGAGAGCTGGTGTGGGTGAGAAGAGTCCTTCATTCCTCTTCATGGCACCTCTTTGTGTTTTGGTGGCACACCCACGTGCTTTGTCCCATGGCTCCTGCAAAGGCATTTCCTTGCATAAATAGTTGGTCAAATCTGAAGGAATGAGGGTTGAAAATGCTGTTTGGCTCTCTGGCTGATATCATTCCTATGGAAGAATTTCTTAAAGAACAAAATATAAAACAAAGTTAAACAAATTTACAAAGTGAGGACTTTATAGAAAAACTACATTAAAGTCAATAACATACAATAAAAAGAAACATCAAAATAAAAATTAGGAAAAATATCTATAATCCATTTCACTAAAAGAATTAGTATTCATAATATAAAAATAACTTTTTCTTACTAATAAAAAAAACCCCGTGGGACCAGCAGTTAGCGTAATGGCTATGTCGCTGGACTCCCATGTAGTCAACCGCGGTTTGCATCCCAGACCCGGTGGCTTGAAACTTACGCCGGGCGCGTGTGCATGTGTGCCCAAGATCCCGAGAGGAGAATGGAGGAGAAGGGATTGCAGCATGGCCATACCCCCTGGGGGTTGATTTCTCGCTTTCTGTCTCTCTGACTCTCTCTGTTTGTCTGGAGAGCGCACGTGCCCTATAGCAAAACCTCTTCAATAAAATAAAATAAAATAAAATAAAGCCAACTGTAAATGATAAAATACTTAAATGGCTTCCCACAAAGGAGGCAACCCAGTAGCCCCTCAGCTCATCCGAGGTGAGGGATGTCACACACGAGGCAGAGGGTCAGACGGGTCAACTGTTTCAGCTTTCGAGTCGAAGAAGTCCCCAGAAGTTAAGACGAGAGTAACAGATTTATTTTGCATATTTAATTTTACTTTTTAGGTACCCATGGCACAGGAGGGCTGTGGGAAGGGCAACGTACCCATTAGGGGAGAAAATTAATGGGAACACAAAGACTCGAAATCTCATCCCAGGAACGTTGGTGGGGTTTGTACCTTTCACCCAAGTGTATTTCATTATTAATCATTTTTCCTTTCCTCTCAGCACAAACACTGTCCTTGTGTGTGGAATACTGAACTGTGAAGTAATTCTTATTCTTTTTCCTTCATCAGAAAGGGGAACTTTCTGTGCATTACTCTCCACTGAGATTAATCAAAGAATTGCTTTGTTTCTTGTTCCCAAAGTGCCTATTTAAAATACAGGGACTCTTATCTCCAGGGACCCCAAAATTATGTAAAGTTTCTCTCACTAGATCTCAGTTATTTACCACAAGTTTGTTATAACTGTTAACTAAATTATAGTTACATGGAAGCCAGACACGGTATCTACCAAGTTTATATTTCCTGGTCACAGTAAAGATGAAGATATTTGTAGTCTCTGCATAAGAGTTGCACCACACTGAGAGGCCAAGGGATTTTTTAATGTAAACTGATATAATGTAAAGTGATAAATTTTATGATAAATTGAGGTTACTTCTTGAAGTAACAGGAGTTTGACATTTTTAGCGACTGAAGTTCCTCAATGACCCAGCTCAGCAGAAATCAGACCACAGCATGCAATAAGTTCAGTATTGTAACTTTGGAACAGAAAACCATAAAAGATAGCATATGTTTTCCTTCAACAGGTGTACAATACTTGGGGATAGCCATATCATAGTCTTAGCTAATTTATAGGCAAAAAACAGTGAATTTTAAAATACACATTCATTTCATTTATTTGGGTAGTAGCGGTTTGTGACTCCCAGTGAGCAGTGCGTCCTGAGGAAGGTATGAAGAAAAGAGAAAGAGAGTGACAACGTGGCCAGGTGCCGGACTGGGTAGGAGGAGAGTGATTCCTGTCTGGCGGTGCTAGTTCTACTGATATTATGAGCGCCCACATGCCCACGGTGCAGGTTTGTCTATGTATGCTGAAGGAAGTGGACGTCCTGGGCCCATTTTGAAATATTTTCATTGACTAAATTTTTCAAAATTCATGGTCAGGGACCAGCAGTTAGCATAATGGCTATGTCGCTGGACTCCCATGTAGTCTACCGCAGTTCAAGTCCCAGACCCGGTGGCTTAAAACTCAC